ACCCTATCCATCCTCCACAGATGCCTTATTTCCTGGGCGAGTTCTGTGTACTTGCTAATTTTTTCAGTGAATGCGTTTTGTACATTCTGAGTGTTTGGAATGACTATGTCTATAATGTATGTGATTTTATTGTGTTTGTCAATGAGTGTGATATCTGGTCTGTTGTGGTAAATTGTTTTATCTGTAATTATGGCTCTGTCGTAGTACAGTTTGTGCATGTTGTTTTCCAATATTGTCTGTGGAATGTATTTGTAGTATGGTTTGTAGATGTCTAATAATTTGTGTTTGTTTGCAAGCTCTTGGTGTATTACATTTGCTACTTGATTATGTCTGTGTAAATAATCCGTCTGTGCCAAGAGCATGCACCCAGATGTAATGTGTTGTATAGTTTCTGGCATGATGTGACATTTTCTGCATGTGTCATTTGTGAGTGTTGTATCTTTGAGTATGTATTCTCTGTAGTTTTTAGTATTTATGGCCTGATCCTGTATGGCAATCATGAATCCTTCCGTCTCCCCAAAGACACATCCCTGATCTAACCAGCTGTTTGACGCAGTTTTGTCAACAAAATCCTGGGCTAGGTCATAAGGATGCCTGCCGTGGAGTGCCTTTCAAGCCCACGATTGCTTAATGGTGTCTATGATGTTTATATGTCATGTCTGTATGATGTGAGTGTAAGTTTAATGGCGTGCTATTCAAGTCTGCTAGAGTTACTGCTTTATGTAATTGTGATGTTTCTTGTTTCCTGTAGAAAAACTCTCGCAGTGAGTGTATTTGTTTGTAGTGAAGGTTAACTATGTCAATCAGGCCACGTCTGCCATCTTTACGTGGAAAGGTTAATCTTTCTGTGGCAGATTTAGGATGATGTTGTTTATGCTTAGTAAGTGTTGTTCTTGTTTTCCTTTGGAGTTGCTCGAGATCTGTGTGAGTCCAATGTATAACTCCAAAAGAGTATGTGAGTACTGGGATGACATGTGTGTTTATTGCTTTAACTGTGTGTTTTGCATTTAGCTGTGTTTTGAGAATGACATTTAACCTTCTTTGGTATTATTTAATTAGTCTTTGCTTTATTTGTGTATATTCTGTTAGTTTGGCCTGTTGGAATCCTAAGTACTTGTAGAACTCGCCCTCTTCCATGGATTCAATAACGTCTCCATTTCCAAGTGCAAAATCTTCTTTCTTCAGGATTCCTTTTTCTATGTGAAGTTTTTTGCATTTGTCTAGGCCAAACTCCATTTGTATGTCCTTAGTGTATGAATGTGTGATTTGTAGGAGTTGATGAAGTTGTTTTTGTGTGGATGCATAAAGTTTTATGTCGTCCATGTACATGAGATGTGAGAGTGTAAACTGTGTTGTTTTTTCGTGTCTGATATTGTAGCCGTATTGCGTGTTGTTTAACATGTTGGATAATGGATTCAGGGCTAGGCAGAACCAGAGAGGACTCAAGGAATCTCCTTGAAAAATTCCTCGCCTAATGAATATTTCGTTTGTTTGTATGGAAGTGTTACTAACCCTGAGATGTAGTGTTGTTCTCCAGTGCTGCATAGTGTTTTCGAAGAATGCAATGAGTGATGGATGTATTTTGTACATGTGTAGAATATGTAGCAGCCAACTGTGTGGAACACTGTCGAATGCTTTTCTGTAGTCTATATATGCCATGTGTATGTTTCTGTGTTGTTTGTGTGCTTGCCGTAGAATGACTGAATCTATGAGTAACTGTTCTTTGCATCCCCTGTGATTTCTACGGCAACCTTTTTGTTGTTCTGTAAGAATGTCGTGTTCTTCAACATGTTTGTATATTTTGTTTGTGATACAGGATGTCAATAATTTGTAGAGTGTTGGAAGACATGTAATTGGTCTGTATTGTGTGGGGTCTGTGGTGTTGTTGTTTTTAGGTTTCATGTAGGTGATGCCCTGAGTAAGAAATTTTGGCATGTCTTGTGGATTGATGATGATGTGTGTTAGATGTTTAGCTAGTTCCTGGTGCAGTGATGTAAACTTTTTGTACCAGAAATTGTGAATGTTGTCTACACCAGGTGTCTTCCAGTTGTGTGTTCTGTTAACAGCGTAGCGAATGTCGTGTACGTTTATTTCAGCACAGGGCATAGTTGGTATGTTGTGCAAGTTTCTGTTCTCCTCCTCGATCCAGCCTGCATCAGCATTGTGTGTAACAGCATTGGACCAAAGAGAAGACCAATAAGTTGTGAGTTCTTCTTCTGTTGGTGTGCCACTGTGCTGTGTATCAGTGTTTGTTTTGGTACTGATTTGTCTGTAGAAAAGTTTTTCATTGTTTGTGAATAATTTATTTTGTTGTTTTCGTAGTGTACATGTTTTGTATCGTTTGAGTCTACGTGCTTTGGCTGAGAGTTTTTGTTTTAGTGTATCGATGTATTCTGGAATGTGTGTGTTGTGATGTTCATGTTTTGTGTGTGTATTGATTTTCTTGAAAATGTTTTTGAGTTGTTTCTTTAATTTGGGTGTTATGTTGTTTTTAGTGTATTGTGTCAGCCTGCCTAATTGCTGTCTAATGTCATTTATTTGTGTTTCTATTCTTCTCTGCCAGGCAGGCTTCTGATAGAATTGTGTTTTGTGTGTGTTTGTTTGCGATTGTATTTTCAGTCCATGGTGTGTCACTACTGTGACTGCTCCAGCATAAACTAATGTATGAATGTCTGAGAGTGTAGAAATTGAATGAATGTAGTTTGGTAGTAAGTGAGTGTTTACAAAATTTAGTGTTTTTCCTACTACCTTTTGATGTGTTGATTTTCGGTATTCGTGGTCTTTGTGTGGGATCTGTGCCTGTACATTTAGTGAGTGTTTCCTGAAATATAAGTGAGAGTGTATTAACTAAATCTATATCTATGTTATCAGTGATGGATGAGAAAGTATCTGTAGTATCATTAATGGTAGTTGTTGTATGTGTACTATTATCAATGCTTATTGCTGGATTATTCTGACAGGTTACGTGATCTTCATTAATGTTAAATGTTTCTGCCTGTTGATGTATTTGATCAGCAACCTGTTGTTTGATAAGTTCAAGTGTTTGTTGTGGGATAAGGTTGTTGTGTATAATTGTTCTTTTTTGATCAACAACCCTTTGTTTGGTGACAGTGAGGTGAGGATATTGTTGTGTGAATCTATGATGTAATTGCTGTCTGTATGCTATCATGTTTGTTTCGAGTTTTGTGATGGTGTAGTAAGTACGGATGATAAACTCGTTCATTTCTGTTGTCCATTTCACCCATTGGCATGGTTTTCCAGCCTTTGTGGTCTATGGATGCATTTCCACAGAAACACCAAGGCTAGGTTGATTCCTCACATCTGTTGAGGGCATTGCAGTAGCCATGCTTGGGCCGATGCTGCTTTCGCCACCGGTAACCAAGAGAGACTGTCGCCTATTTTTCGAACGTGAGCCTCTGCCTAACCCACGAACATGGACCTTATTAACCTGGGCGACATCCAAGCCGGTATCACACTTTGATCTGGTTACTATCATAATAATTATCTCCACAGAATGTGGGTATGGTCACTCTTAGCTTCATTTCTCCCCATAGACCTTACTGACATGGGTGTCTCTACCAGGAGCTTGTGCTCCAGCCTGCATTGCTCTATGGTTCAGTAAAATTACTGGGCTCTCCCACCATGACCAGTGTGGTGACCATGGGAGAGTTATTATTATTATTATATGTTTTATTATTACAAAATGTTATTAACTATATCATAATGTTATCGTATGCATTAATTTACACGACACATTATTCTTAGACACAATACAGTAATGCTTTGTTACAAAATCACAAGAATACAACAGTAATTAACCAAAATATTCACAATAAACAAATAGAAAATAAAACTAATTCAAAATATACTCTTTAAACTATTTAAATATTGTAATTATTGAAATTTTTAAATTAAATTTTAAGATTTAAAGGACTTTAATTATAAAAAAAAATTACCATTTTTAATATTTAATATGGACAGTAACTTATATGAAGTACTTTACATGACAGACAAACAGCTAAGAAAACAAATGATACAATTTACCAAGAGAGTTAAATCTTTTGTAACTTTAAAAATTTAAAAGAACCAATATAATAATNTTAATTAGGAGTTTTATATTATAGGAATTAGTTGAAGATTTTATATTTCCTGCTTCTCGTGTTATTCTTCAAATTAGAAGAAATCCCAAAGAACTTCCATCAGAACAAGCTATACCTGTCTGTCTGTCATCATCATCTATTATTTCTGCTTTTGATCTCTTGGTAGCTCTATGTACAAGATGTGTACCAAATCTTCAGCAACTAGCTGACATGTTAACAGAGATGTTTTATTCTGGTATGAATTTTTAAAAAATTAAAAACTTTTTTTGAACAATTGCTATAATATAACAATAATAAGACTTGCAGAATTAATACAAGTAATATTTAATAATTTTTGAATTACATCCTTAATTTATTTATTTATAATTTAGTAGTATTTACCAGTAGCTAAGTGCATAAAATCACTGAATGCTAGTAGTTTGTTGTGGGTTCATGCCATAATCAACTTTTGGGCTGGCCGTGTAGAGTTTTCTGAGTTTTCTTTATGTTTAATGCCTAAATAGTGGCCAGTTTGCTGTAGAAAGTTTTCCCAAGAGGCAACCCCCTGGCAGATTGCCTATGAGTCACATTGCCATATACAAATAACAACAACAATATAATTTAGTAGTATAATTCAAGTTATCAATTTATAAATTTTGAAAATTTTTCATTTTACTAAAAAAAATTAATGAAAGTTTTAAGTATTGATTAAACATGTGAAATCTTAAATACTTTACATGCTTAATCAGGAATTTAGAAAATTTATAAGTTATGTAATATTCAAATTACATGAATAATAGAAAAGGATTTTTCCAAAATGTGAAACTTGATACAAATTATATTATACTTTATTCATTAATTTTTAATTATAATAGTAAGGCTAGGACTCCACTATCGTAAAAACGGCATAAAAACCCCTCGCCGTAAAAGCTTTTAATCACATGACCTATTTGCGCTTGCGCTTGGATTATGGTGGAGGTCCGGCTAGCGTGAAGTTTTTACGGCGACGGTGCTGCCCCAAGTGTCGAACGTAAATACTTCTTCGCACGTGAATTGGTGAAAACGAGAGCATTGTAGTTTGGTTGTTCACAATTGTCAGTGCATAAAAAATTTAAAATGGATCAGATACAAGCTGATATGATGTTTCAACTTTTTTCTGGACAATTTTTGTTGCTTTCTGCACTCATGAAACGAAAGCAACGCAAGCATCGTTTTTGGGTGAGGCCTTTATTTCAGAATAGAAGTTCCTTAGGCTATCATAATACACTTATGCGTGAACTTCGTTTTCAAGACCAGGAATATTATTATGAGTAAGTAATAAATTAAAATTATAGCAAAATCTTATAAGGCATAAAAGTTTTATTAGTAGTAACGTGAATTTTGTTGACAGTTTTTTAAGAATGACACCTGATCTCTTCGAAGTGTTATTACAACGAGTGGAAAATTCTATAAGCAAACAAAACACATGTTTTAGAGAAGCAATTTCAGCCAGAGAACGCTTAGGAATAACTTTAAGGTACATTTTATATGATTAGAGCTAATGACTGACTAGCTTAATCTGTTTTAATTGGTTTAAAAAGTTCATTTTATCATGTATTTTTTCAGATTTTTAGCATCAGGGGAAACATACAGAAGTTTGTCATTTGCCTTTAGAGTTGGCAGACAAACAATAGCAAAAATTGTTCCTGAAATTTGCCATGCTCTTTGGACTCACTTAAAATCAGACTGCATGCAATTTCCCTCAACACCAAATGAATGGAAAGGTATTGCAGAAAATTTTTTAAAAGCTTGGCAATTGCCACATTGCTGCGGAAGCATTGATGGAAAACATGTGTTGATGGTTTGTCCAAAAAATAGTGGAAGTTTAAACTTTAATTACAAAGGAACATTTAGTAATGTGTTGCTAGCAGTGGCAGATGCCAATTATAAATTTTTGTATATAGACTATGGACACTATGGAAGCGAGAGTGATGGAGGAATATTTAGAAAAGTTCAGTTTGGCCAAATGATGGAAACCTGCAGATTAAACTTGCCTAATGATATTACTTGCCAAATTCTGAAATTATGTTTCCTTTTTATTTCATTGGTGATGAAGCTTTCCCACTAAAAAGAAATTTGATGCGACCATATCCCAGACGCTCAGCTATTAGCCGATCACAATGAGTCTATAACTATAGACTGTGTTGTGCTCGTCGAGTAGTGGAAAATGCTTTTGGCATTTTAAGTTCTCGTTTTCGAATCTTCAAACGACCATTAAACTACAGTGAAGATAACACGACAAAGATGGTATTGGCAGCTTGCATATTACACAATTTTCTTATAAGAGAGTCAGCTTGTTACATTAATGCTGGAGATTGTGATTCAGAAGATGAACATGGCAACCTTATCCCAGGGAGGTGGAGAGCAACAGATGATCAAATGAGAAGTTGCTCACAGGTAGCAAGCAACATGTACTCTACTGAAGCAAGAGAATTGAGGAATAAATTAGCAGACTATCTATGTACCACTGGGTCTTGCCATAGACAATAGACTATCATATTTTTATTACTAAGGTTCAATAAAGAATTATTTTTATTACTCTTGTGTTTTAAAGACATTGTAACAAATATAGGTTTTCAAAAAAAATTTATTAATATAGCAAAATTAATTAAATAAATTACATTGATCTATTGAATTCATTATGTAATTTACTGATTCTCTTCATCATTCACAGCATCAATCTCAAAAAGAATGTCCTGAATTCTTTTCATTGCTGTTCTTTGATTTTTGCTGCTCATTTTGGCCAGCATGCTTTCAACAAACTCGCAGAACGGTTTTATATGCGATTTGTTTTTTTGTATTGTAGCATTTGCTTGCTGCATGGCTTCAGCAGACATTCTAAATACTGCCAATAATTCTTCCATTTGTGAATCACATTTTCTGCCATGTTTTAAATGTGAAGTGCTGGGTAAAGTACAAAGTATATATCACAAATAATATACAAACAAAAAGCTTTAGAATAGTACAGACTGAATGTATGTACAGTACCTGCTCTCTGAAGTTTCCACTGGTAATTGTGATGATGCTGATGCTGATGCAGGCCTATAACAGGTAAAAAGCAAGAGTAGGTAAAAAGGCAAAAGGCAATCAGTGAATAACTATTGGAGTGCTTACCCAGGAAGAAATACTTCACTGTCACTGGGACAGAAAAACTCTACTGCCTCAGCATAGAGAGGCTGAACATCTTCTGGTCGGTCTTCTGCTGGTAAAGTCGGTGATATGTTGTTGATGGTTCTGTATTTATACAAAATTGAATATAAAAATTCTTCCTTCACCCATAAAATGTATTCTTTCTTAACCTAAAATACTTACTCTTCATTTGTTTGAGGACAGTGCCTCATAAACCCATCGATGACTTTATATAAGTACCAATGTGATACATATATGTCATCCCTACCACTTCCACTTCTTTTGCTGTCTTCCACTTTTTCATTCTCCCTTGTGTACCGATCGCGCTGCATTTTCCAGCGGCTTTCAGCACTGGAAGCATCTGTAACATAAAAAGTTTATAGAAGTGAAGCTTTTGTACAACTTTTTCAATATTCATTCAATCACATGCATTTTAAGCACTAAAATACAATACAAAAATAATCCATATCATACTCAACTAATTTATTGCTTGATACATTTCTGACAACACACTCAAATATAATAAAATTTAATTTTAGAACAGAATAATTTAGTATATAAATTTAACTGTAATTGTATAATTCCAGTGACATACTTGTATATAGGTAAACAAACAGAAAATTAAAAACTTGTAAATGAACACATGGGATATAACCATAATTAAATACAATCATCATAATTCAGCAGTTGTAAAACACTAAAACTTAAATGATTGTGAAATAATAAAAGGAATTCATATAGAAAAATAATTAAAAGGGAAAAAAACAATAAAAAGGAAATATGAATATTTGGAACTAATTAAATTAAAGAAAAAGAATAAATGACTGTTCAGGCACAGTATTGCAAAAAACATTTGTAAATATTTGAATCATATTAGTTGTCCAGATTATGATAGTTAAGAAGAGAAAGTATTAATGGATTTCTAATGAATTAAAATTAGGATTGTATGTTCTCATGAAAAAAATGTTAATTGTTAAAATGAATGAGAGTTTGTTTTGAATAATGAGTTATTATATTAAAATAAAATCAATTAAAAACTTTTTGGAAACAGAATGAATAAAAAAAAGAAAGAATTGTCACAAGAAAGAAAATGTAATAAAGTAGAAAAAAATATTTCAATATTTTATAATTAATTTTTTAAGAACTGTATATTTTATATTATTATTTAAGTAGATAATATAGAAATATTGTTAATAATAATAATTCACATCTGAAGAGGGACTGATAATCAAATAGAGCAGTCTAAAATGCANTAGATGACCGGCACGACGCCATTGCTAACGGAAAAGTATGATGTACAGCAGTGGTCCCCAACCCCCGGGCCGCGGACCGGTACCGGTCCGTGGATCAAATGGTACCGGGCCGCCCAAGGAACATTAAATTATTTCCATTTTATTTACTATGGTATTTCCTCGGATTTGTGCGACTTTTAATGGAGACAGAACAACGGAATAAACTGGACATAAGAAACACACTTCGGGTATCATTGTCTCCTATTACCCCCAGATTAACCTATTAACCGTCTCGTTGCAAAGAAACAAACTCAGGATTCTCATTGATTTAGCGTACTAGTGAGTTAAAATTTTAAATCACATTATATTCATTTTTTGGTGTAACTGTATATTACTTTAAAGGCATTTTTAAATACAATTAAATTAAAATTATTAAATTAAATTAATCTAAAATATAAACAATCAACGTCCCCCTTCAGTGGGCCGTGGTAAAATTATCAAACATTGGCCGGTCCGCGGCGATCGAAAGGTTGGGGACCGCTGCTTTAGGCAAGCATTCTTGTAATCTGGATGCCTCTTATCATACAAACATGGATATTTGCGAATATTTTCTATAAATTTCTCCAAATCAATTCTTGGTCGTTTCGAAGTAGCCATGATAAAACGTAAACAAAAGATCGATTTTCGCACGATGTCACGATGACGTAGATCCACTGACTTCTGATTGGTTGAAGGTACCGTTTTACAGTCGTAACCCTGTCAAAAGTTGAACATAGCTCAACTCGCTTTTACGCTGGTTTTACAGCCTGCTCAAGCGTAAGATATTAGGGTCATGTGATTAAAAGCTTTTACGGCGAGGGGTTTTTACGCCGTTTTTACGGTAGTGGAGTCCTAGCCTAACTTTTAAGTTAAGCTGTACATAACATGATATTTGTAATATGTGGTGATTTAAATTAAAATTCTACTATATACTTTGTTTACTGCAAGAAATTGAATAAGATATTGTTAGTAAGGTAGAGATTTGATGATCAAAAGGTAATTTTGATCACATTTTTGATGATACTATTAGTATGTCAAACAGCATTTTCAAATTTTTAGTACTGCATTTCTGATCATTCAAACCACTTTTGAAGCTTTTCAAATTAGTGTATTCCTTAAACAAAGACTCTTTCTGAGCAGTTAAACTATCCCTATAAAGATTAGTTTTTAGAAAGGTTCATGATTTTTTTTCATTTCAAAACTTAGCAAGGATCACTTTGACAAATTCCAAATTCAGCTTTCAGAGTATAGCATTTTGATTGATAATTTTGAATCCAATCACCATATTGGCATTGTTAATTTAAATAGACTCTTTTGTGAAAATAAATCGAAATTACTCCCCATTTCCTGGTACATCAAAAGAATAAGAACAATTCCTATTAATTTACAATAGTAGTATTTTTAAAGTGTGTTCTTTGCAACCCTAGGGTCCTGCAAATGTATTTATAAGAAATTTTTATTGTATTGTAAATTAATGTAATACTGTAAAACTGTCACTCAAAATCCTTGTGTAATGGATAAATACTAAAAACTTATTTGAATTTGATATAAAAAATGTCATTTGCCCATTTTGGCTTTTGTGACAAAAAGCAAATAAAATATGTACCGGTTATTTTCTGCAATTCTTGTATTTTTACAACATTGTGTGATTTAAGAGTTAATTTCAATAGAAGGGCTTGGAAATATTCTAAGTAATGGTTCAAAATTAATTAAAAATTATTTTATTTTGAATCAAATAGCTTGTATTTAATTATAATTTACAGAAAATGATCATCCTCTGACAGAATGGGAATATTTACCACCAGTTGGTCCACGTCCTTTGCGTGGATTTGTTGGTTTAAAAAATGCAGGTGCAACCTGTTACATGAATTCAGTTCTTCAACAGGTAAACTATAAAAATTTTTATTCAAAAATAATAATATTTAGTAATTTTAAATTTATATAAATTCTTACTACTTTTATTAGTTATATATGATAGAAGATATCCGTAATGGTATTCTTAGCGTAGAAGGTGCAGCTACTGATTTAAATGAAGATTTTTCAGGTGAAGAAAGAATGGAGAATGAAGTAATTAAATACTTTTATCTTCTCTATATAATTGATTTGTTCATTTTTATATTTGTTTAAGTAAAATTTACAAGTTTTAATAATTTTAACTTTTTTTAATCTACTTTTCAAAAGCCATTATAAAAACTTTAGAAAAAATTTAAGAATTTCTTGGAAAGAATGAAATAATATGAAAAGAAATACTTTTAATAGGCAAAATTTTAACTTTTAGCCAAAGATAATCCCAACAAGATTAAATTTTTGTAAGATAAGATAAGATAAATTTTTGTAAGAAAAGTGGCTTAATAGATTTGTGTCAAAGAAGATGAGTATTGATAATTAAAATTTATGGAAAGTAGAATTAAAAGAGAATTAATAAAAATATAAGACATTCTTTAGAGATATTAGTAAAAAAGTTTTATGAAAAGACTAATTTATAAGAAATTTTATAATTTGTTAAGTCTTATTTCTTAGTCTATATCAGTATATAATTAATATAATTCTAGTTAGTGGTTGTCTAGCAAGAGAAACTCAAATTTTTTTTTTTTTTTAATTTGAATACAATGATTGATGAATCTTAAGGGGTGGAATCTAATTTATATTAAATAAGCTTAACATTAAATAATTTTAATCAAGAAAGGTCGATTATTCTCATTGACAAGCTATTTAAAATAATTGAAACTATTTCAATTTTCTTTTTTATTAAACAGTTTTAAAAAAAATGAAATATGAAATAAACAGCAAGTTTAATTCTTATATTATATTAAACATGCATTTAAAAAGCTTTAAGTAAAATCATATTTTAATTGGATATTCAATATTACTTGATACTAAACTGGTTTTCACTTGAGCAGTATGGAGGAGCTAATGACTGATGATATGCATAACATTTATTTGCACAATAAAAATTTTAGTGCAATGGAGGAACTATAATGGCACAGTGGTTTGCTGAAATGGCTCAGAGCCAAAAGGAGTCCAAAAATGTCAAGAGCTATCATATGTGATTGTTTCTTACAGTTAAAGTTGTTGTTGTTGTATTTTTTTTTTAGTGGTGGAGGTTTTATTCTTTGTAGTGAGAGGTGAATATGAATTTTATTTTATTGTTATTGGAGAACCTATAAAAACTTTAAAGAAAAATAAGTCAATTTTTAGGAATCTAAAATTTTTTAATTTAAAAATTTCTTTGAAATTGCAATTATAATGCATTTTTCCCTCTAATTCCATTATCTAAATATATAAAATTACTTGTTCTGACTGATTGATTCATCATTGCCCAGAGCAAACTGCTGAACCTAGAGGTGAAATTTGGTACACAGTTAGGGTATGTCATGAAAATGAACACTAAGAAGGGATTTTTTGGAAATTCCTCCGTGGTTAAGGCTTAACCAACTTAGATGTATTAAATTGATAACATTTCAGACATTAGACATAAAAAACTGGCACCCAAACTGGAATTATATACTAAAACAAACTAATTCACACCTAAATGTGGTCTCATATTCTAGCCTCTAGTGATCTGTACATGGACCCGATGTATGTTATACGCCAGATCACTACATCACTAGATACAGATCACTAGTATGTTATACGCCAGATCACTACAGTTTGTTGTACAAACTGTACAACAAGTATGTACAGTTTGTACATACTTGTGGTCTCGTATTCTAGCCAGAGGCTACTGGCTAGAATACGAGACCACAAGTATGATGTGTCCAAGGGGAAGTATAATACTGCACTAGTCCAGTATTATACTTCCCCTTCATAGTTATGCTACCGAACCCGAAGTTTTTCCTTGTTGGGATGAAGCTATGCTTTTACACAGGGCTTTTGAACGACATGACTTACATTTGTTGGAGGCTATTTAAATTTATATAGCAGGTATGAAGAGAGGTTGCATTAACTTCGACTATATTCTAGTTCCACAATCGTGAAAGTATTATTTACAATGCCAAAAAGCATAACTATGATTTTTTATTATGAAGTTAGCTTTAGGCGATGTAAAGGAAACAATTTTTCTATATCGCACATTGTTTATATGTTAAATTATCAGACTAACTTTTACCATATATTATATTATTACCAACATATATATTATTTTATATATTAACACCATATAGTATATTATTATTGTATTTATTTATAACTTTATTTATAAAATAATTTATTTATACATTGTAATACATAACGATCTTTGTATTCAACATTGTTTAAATGTTAAAAATTAAAACACAGCTATGTTCGAAAACTGTTCAAAAGATAGAACTGTTTTTTCTATTTTCTGTGTTTTTCTTGATGAGGGCCTCTGAAAGACGGCTGAAAACGTTTGAACATTAAAATTTTTTTGTTGTTCATTTGCTGGAATTAGCATTTAGGTGTGAATTAGTTTGTTTTATTTCAGACATTTTTATAAATATTTTTATATATTTCGATTTTTTAACCAAATGTTTGAAACATTTTAAATTTGAATTTGTTATTGCATATTGGTTTAATTATAGAACGATTGTAAATGTTCCAGAAAATTGATCAAATTGAAAACAGTTCATTTGGTTCTCATCATTCTCAGTGGTAGGTGTTATATAACAATTACTATGAAGGTTGAAATAATGAATATAAATGGTGTTTGCTTGCAAAATCCGCATGGGCAAAGTTGCAGGTAACAGCTAGTATACGAATAATTTTCTTTAAGCCCTTACCAATTATTCTACAATGATGAGAAACTGAGATATAACTGATTTTTGTCTTCTGATGTGTCAAATGATTTTAAATCATGAAGTTGAGTAGCTTAAGTCATGACTGCTTTTATTATTTTTCAAATTTAAAGACAAGGATCTTAGTAAGAAATTTATTTATCATCATCAGTTTGTACGCTAATATTTAGTTTTAAACTGTTCAAATTTGAAACTGTTTAGGAAATATGGTTATAATGTGATTAAACAATTTATAGTTTTTCTTAATACTTGAATTGAGAAACTGTTTAAAAAGTCATTTTTTAAAAATATCAGAAGTAAATTTTAATTCACTTTTTTTTTTCTTAAATAAAGGCAGCATTTCTGTTTAGTCATCAGCAAAGTTCTGAAAATGAAGAGAAAGAAAATAAAGATGAATCTAGAAAAGATTATAATTTGGGTGTTCTTAAACAAGTTCAGGCCATTTTTGGTCATTTAGCTTGCAGTAAATTACAATATTATGTTCCACGAGGATTTTGGAAGCATTTTAAGTAAGTGAAAAAATACATATAGAATTTTTACTTTTGAACTGTGTTTTATACTTTTATTATNCAGGCTTATGTAAGCCTGGCGTTGCTTGGGCAAAAAATAACAACAGCAAAGATTAAGATTATTAGATTATTTCATATTTCTAATCCTTCTATTATATTATCTTATATTGTAGTATTTGATTTATATTTACAAAGGTTATATTACATAAGCTTTTATTACACCAAGTGCTCAATCTAATACATTATAAAAATTCCTTAAATTGTGTACAGTAGAGGAATAAAGAATTTTTAAAATGTGTTATATTAGTCATTCGGTGTGATAAACTCTTATGTAAGATAATCTTATAGTATTTAATTTATATAACTACAAATATAACAAACATTAAAACAAAAACCATATAAAGAGATTAATTATTTCAGCCTACCAATGTCATGTTTATCATGATACTTGAATGGTAAGAAATGGCACAATTTCATTGGTCAAGTAGATAGGCATTGAAAATATATCTTAAATTTTTCAAACATCATAATATTTTCTAATGTTAACTCTTAACAAACTGTACCATTCACAGCCGAATATCAAATGATAATCTGCCAACCTATCAAATTTCCTAAAAAAAAAACAGTTCAAAGATTTAAACTCGGCATCCTCAAAAACTGTGCTTGCTGGTAACCTTGCAAGCACGGTTTTTGACAGTTAACGGTTAAAACATACTTTGTGCTTGCTGGTAACCTTGTATTATGTAATTTTCCCATTCAAAAGCCACCATAACATTGGTTCAATAGAAAGAAGGAAACTGTTGTGGAAGAGGGTTGAAATAAATTTGACCAAAAATAGTAGTTGACCTCCTCCTGGAAGAGAAGATAATGAATGCTACTAATTAATACTGGTCTACAATTAATATTTGAAAAGTGATCAGTGTTGGATAGGTTGTGATGGCCCTGCATGTGATCAAAGTTGCTAACCTTAACTTCTAAAAGACTTCATGTAAACTTGTTTAATTAAATAAAAAAAATCTTGTAAAAATGCTAGAATAGTTCTTTTTATGTGATAATAGTGTTTAAATTTTGGCAACAGATTGTATAAACTACATGGGAAGCATGTTCTCGTAAATATTGCATCTACAGAAAAATCATTGGACTGCAATTTGAAAAAATTGTACACCTATAAATTCACTGCTGTCTGTCTGCTGTGTATCCCTAATCTAAAGAACAGAGTTAGATAGATGAATGCCAAGACCAGATATGGAACACTTAGGGGCAGGTGGCCCTAATTAACCACTCAGCAGTGACCAACAGTGATTGTGTGGCAGTGGTGAAGGACAGATATATCCACAAAATTATTTTGCAGATATCGCCAAAAACTACCACGAAAAAAAATTCACATAAAAAAGGAATTATGTAACAATAAAAAAAAGACTTTTTTTACTAGACATAACTGTTTACAAAATATTTTTCCGAAACGATAATGAGAAAAAACGTATGGAAAAAATAGTTTAAAAAATTTCCCACATTTATTCTCCACTACATAGGGATAGCACCATACCTGACTAACCCACTACTGAAAGGTTATATATATAAGAACTTCTGCTGGAAACCAAAAGTCACGTTATTTCAATTAAAAAGTTTTTCCCTGAATGGAGTTAGATACATAACTGCAGGACTCTCTTGCTAACAAGAAAAGTATGATGTACAGGGACAAAACACTACTAACTCCACATGCTAATTGTCTCAGTAATGGCACATCTATTTCACACTTTATCATTGTCACAGTAATTCAGTGAATATAATTTATATTTTTTTGTAAGAATTATATTTAGTTAATTGTTAAATTTTTTCCAATAGATGGTGCTACATTTAAAGCCAGCAATCAAATGTAGAGAGAAATTAATTGATATATAGAAATCCAATCAATAATTTGGGGTGGGATGTATGACATGATCTAAGTTAGAAGTATTTGAATGTAACTACCGANCATTAATTCAATGAACATAATATATATTTTTAAAAATTATATCCTTTTTTTGTAAGAATTATATTTAGTTAATTATTTTGTTAAATTTTTTCCAATAGATGGTGCTACATTTAAAGCCAGCAATCAAATGTAGAGAGAAATTAATTGATATATAGAAATCCAATCAATAATTTGGGGTGGGATGTATGACATGATCTAAGTTAGAAGTATTTGAATGTAACTACCAAGTTTTGTAGCAATTGGTCAAACAACCTAGGCATGTATAGCGAACAAACAAACATCCTCATGCATATATATATATATAGATTATTATATTATTGTCACTTGTTAAGTCAAATAGGTTTTTCCACCTCTAATATAAGTTTCTAAGTGGCTTTTTAATTTTGCATTGCATCTTTACAGTATGATTTTGAACACACACATTAGAGGTTGAGATTTTATTTGTTTCTTGCTTAATAACAATCAGGTATAAGCTATAAGCATTCTTTCATAAACTCTGAGAATTTATGTAGTTAGGGAAACTTCATTATTAATAGTAAAGTTGTGACTGTGATATATATTTATAACTATAGAGCTAAATATTATTAAGCAACAAACACAACTGTAAATTTTTTAGGATATTACATTAGTTTCCCATTATCAAATCTTGATTGTACAGATATTTTTGAAAGTTGAATGCTAATAATTGACAGATAATTTAACATCTCACTGATACATTAGAATATAGACATTTTAAGTTTATTGTTTTTTTTTTTTTTTTTAGGATTTTCAAAGCATTGATTATGAATAAGATTATATTTTAAATAAAGTTTATCACAAAAATATTTAAATATTTTGATTAGTGATGATTAGTAGCATATATGTAAACTTTTAAAAGTTTTTAATAAATAAAATTATTGAGTATTTTAATTTAAAACTTTTTCAGATTATGGGGAGAACCTGTTAATTTAAGAGAACAACATGATGCTCTAGAATTTTTTAATAGTCTTGTAGATAGTTTAGATGATGCACTGAAGACTTTAGGTCAACCATGTCTTTTAACACAGATTTTAGGTGGAACATTTGCTGATCAAAAGATATGTCAAGACTGCCCTCATAGGTAATTTTATTTTATGAACAATAAAAATATGATTAAAACAAAAATAACTAACATAAGATTTTAAAAATTTTATTGAGTATATTGACTTAATAATGAAGATAAATAAATGTTTAGTTATAATTGTTAAATATTGATTAATGCATAAACTTATTTGAAAGAATAATAATCATAATCAGGATCATTTTTCATCTTAATTCTATAATAAAACATTTTTGAAGTTGTTGGCTTATATTTAATTATAATTTTGATTTTTAACTAAAATTACCATATCTGAAAGCAACAAAGTATTATAATAAAAGTAAAGTGGAAACAATATAAAATCAATGTATAATCCATTCAAAATATACAATTAATTAGACATGTAACTCAGAGAAACTGTAGTTGTTAATTCTGATATTTTATAGCATTTTTACAAGGTAGTATTTACAAGCTAGTATTTGTGTAGTATTTGCATACACAAAGTTAATGATTTATCTGAACTCTTATATATGATCAATATATTTTTTATCATAAATTTTAGGCTAGTTTTTTAAACAAAGGAATTTCAATTGATTCTCTTCCATCAGCTGTAATCATAGTGAGAATTATTGAAATACACTTATTTATAAATAAATATGAATAAATTTTTAAATACCAAAAGTTTTTTAATACTTTTGCTTTAAGTATTATAAAATTTTATATGTTAATATTAATTATAACTGTTATAAATGATCCTGTAAATCTGGCCTAATTATTTAATTATGATGAAATTTTGTGCATGAGGTTTCTCAAGGATGGAGCACATGAAATTATAATAATGTTTTGAAATAAGCCAACTAGACATACTTAAAGAGATGTACTGAAACAGTTAACATTGGTAAGAATTAACCCAGTGTGAGTGAGGTCGGGTATGTCATACCCAAGGAGATTTTAAACACAGATTATTTAATGTTATTGTTGCCATGCAAATCCCATTGTCACAATAGCTGGAGGTAAGGGAATGGGGGCGAGGCGCAGTGTTGAGTTTAGTGTTCTGCCGATGTCAGCGGGAGATACACATGAGCAAAGGTGGCTGGGGTACGTCACACCCAACCTCATAGTTGGTGTTACATTTTTGAGTTGACAGTAAGTTTATGAGTTATAGTTATTTACAGTATTTTTAGATTTATTTCTAGATTTCTCAAATGATAGTCTTCGCATTAGACAAAAAACCACATTTTTCAAGGGAAACGCAAAAAGTGATTACTGATAAACTGGGAGAACCTTCATTACCTGTTTCCAAAAAAATGGCTAATAAATATGTCAGTTGTGGTGAGTATACTAAAAAACAGATAGGAAAACAAAACATTGCTGTTCGAAGTGTGAGAAGCCAAAATGTATGAACATGCGATTTTTATGTGTGGAGATTGTCCTGATTTGTAGGTGAAATGTTGGTGCTGTGCAAATTGATCTCATAAGATATTTTAGTTTTTTTTTCTATTTTTATAATTGAAAGATACTATAGTTATGTTGATTAACCAAAGAAGTTATAATTTTGTTAGAATTTTATACGAAAAAATGTTAAACTACCAAAACTTGTACTTTTTCAAAGAAAATATAGACACTTTGTTATTTCAATTAAAAAAATGCTTTTCAATCTTAAACATAATATTTTATTTACTCATCTTATTGAATAGATACTATTCTTATTATCCCAAGTGAAAAGATACTTTATACACAATTATAGTAAAAAATTTGCATAAAAGTTTTGGGTATCTCCTACCTACCTCATAGAGCTGGTGTAACAATTTCTCACCTCATTCACGCCGGGTTAAGGGAGAGAATAGATTTGTATTTGTTCTCTTATTATTCATTTCTCCTTTCATTGTATAGTTTATTGCAAGAGTCAGCAACCTGTGGTCTGCAGGACAATTTTCAGTGGTGCACTGATTGAATAGAAGTGTAGTAAAATTTAAAAACTATATTTTAATTATTAATTACACATTTAAATGGAAACCATAGTTCAGTGTAGGCTGTGATACATTAAAAATGAATCTCTTGCTTGTATATTTATATTACAGCACATGCGTTTGCATGTGTTGTAATATAAATATATGCTTCACATTTAAGAACATAATTCAATTAATGACTTAACTTCAAAATTATATATTATTGAAGTTTATTATAACTGGACCAAGTTTGATAATATATATAACAAAATTGGTAGAATCATGTCAACACCCAGAATAACACTATAACCTAGGTTCAGTATAAAACCACTAAAAGGTTGCCATCCCCTCGTTTAGTGTTTACACTAAACTATAAAATGAGAGGAGAAATAATAATAATAATAATAATCTTTATTGGCGTAGAAGGCTTTCACCTGTTACAAGAGCGTCTTATTTTAAAAAATGCATATTAACATCTCATATAATAATATCTTAACAACATTGATGTATTCTATTTACTGGTCTATAAAATTATATTAATAATTTGTCACAATTATCATTTAATTAGTTGTTTAACGTAGTTATATAACATATAAATTATGTTAGCATTAGCTCTGTCAAATGTCTTATACATTTCCATTTCACTAGTACATTTAGCCAGCGGCCCAATCTGGAGCCTTTGTAGTTTGTCCTTTTTATTACAATATTCGCATATAATATGAATTTTAGATAAATTTTTGGTACAATTTGGACATTTAGATTGGGTGTAGTCTATTGTTTATAATTATTCCATTTTTATTTAACCAAACCTGCATAAAAATTTTTTTTATGTTAAAAGCTATATTTGTCAATATATAGTTGTTATTTGCTGGTTAATTTAGAATTGTTGTATACCAGCTTGTGTTTTCTCATTTTCGTATATCTTCAATGTCTTGAATAATGGAGTATTCCATAACTCTATATATTATTTCTGTGAGCTCGTGGATTTTTACAGGTTTTTTAAAAATCTAAATTTTCTGTTAATTATATTCGGAAAAAACCCAAAGAATTTGAATTAGATCGGATTTCACCGATTGTATAACAACTAGCTGAGATAGTTTACAATTAGGTGTGAAGAATGCACCATCCTTGTCAACAAAAGTCAATCACGTGACAGTTTTCCCATGCTAATGATATAAAAGCTCGAATCTCCAGAAGCTCAGGGCGATTCGTCATAGGAAGTTATGCTTTGTGATAGTGCCCACCTCATCTCCTAAACCTCCATACAGCGGTTTTTATATATTTTGAATTTTATATATTGAAAATTTATTTATAGTATATTCTATAAATGTTTTTCAAATTTTGTAGAATTACTTTTTTTGATAAAGAATTCAGGATTTTATTTGGAATAAATTTTTTGTGTAAAGAATAATATGACTTAGAAATAATTTTATAAATAAAATAATTTCTATTTTATAATAAATTTAGATATTCAAGAGAAGAGTCCTTTACAACATTAAATATAGACATTCGAAATCACAGTAATCTCCTCGATTCCTTAGAACAGTACGTTAAAGGTGATCTTTTAGAAGGGGCCAATGCATATCATTGTGAAAAATGTAATAAAAAGGTAATTTAATATCTTCTGTCATTTTGTATACTTTATATTTGTAAAGTGTTGCTTTAAAATTAACAGTTAGATGTTATATGTAGATATGAGGGTGGTTTTTTTTTACACTCCAATGGTCCATAAAACAAAAACAAGTGTAAATAACAAAATGAATTTATTACCAAAAGTTAGGTACAAACATGGTTACTTTTCGACATAATCACCGTGAAGATTGAGGCATTTGTCATATCTGTGGATGAGCTTTTCCATCCCCTTGTCATAGAATGTTGTTACCAGTGAATTGAGAGGGCCTTAACAACATTGTTTTGAAGATCATCATTAGTCTCAAACCTCTGCCCTGCTAGCCACATTTTCAGTTCAGGAAAGAGTTGGAACTCTTCACATATTAAAAAGTTCCAAGCTGGGTAGAAGTCTGAAAAGTGGAAGTCTTCACCACCTTTAAACACCCAGCTTATAGCCCCGATTTAGCGCCAAGCAACTTCACTTCTTTTCTGAATAGAAAAAGTGGCTAGGAGGGCAGAGGTTTGAGACTAATGAACTAATGATGATCTTTAAAACAACGTTAGGACCCATCTCAAGTCATTGGTGGCAACATTCTATGACGGGGATGGAAAAGCTCATCCACACATATGACAAATGCCTCAATCTTCACGGTGATTGTCAAAAAATAACCATGTTTGTACCTAAATTTTGGTAATAAATTCATTTTGTTATTTACACATGTTTTTTTTTTATGGACAATTGGAACTTGAAAAAACAGCCTATGTACAATTCATATTAGAAAAGATAGTTATTAATGTAATCATAATATTTATTTTAAAAGCTATAATTATGTAATATCTTTTTGTTTGTTAAATTTTTAGAAAAGAATTTTACATATTACTGTTTTTGTAACATCATTTTTTTTTACAAACTACTTACAAATAAATAAAATAACATTAAAATTTTTCAGGTTGATACTGTGAAAAGACTCTGTATTAAAAAATTACCTAAAATTCTAGCAATTCAGTTAAAACGTTTTGATTATGACTGGGAAAGAGAGTGTGCCATTAAATTTAATGATTATTTTGAATTTCCAAGAGAATTGGATATGGAACCATACACTGTAAGAGGACTTGCTAAAGTTGAAGGTATGAATACAATGTTTTTTTTAAATTTAAATAATCATTTATTTTTAAAATATATACTTATTTTATATACATTGCAGGAGAAATTATTGAAGATACAGTCAACTTGGATGAACCATTATGTACAAAATATAATTTATCTGGAATTGTAGTTCATAGTGGGCAAGCAAGTGGTGGTCATTATTATTCTTACATTTTACATAGGTAATTATAAGACTTGTTTTCTCTCATTTAAAAATTCTTCCTCCTTCAGAACATTCTTAACATTTTAAATTTCATCACAAATAATAATTAAATCTAGTAATTTTTAAACAAATTTTGGTGTTACTTTTATTCTATTTTTGCTATTAATCATTTATTTTTTGTGATGTGTGTATAATTTATATTTCACTACAGTTGTTCCTTGATAATCCAACGTTTTGTAAACCGATATGCTCAGTAGTCCAACGCACCTCCCGTGAAGGTCACCGTAGTCCCTATCCCCGTTACGTGTCTGCTTGCACAGAAGCATATCGCAACATGAATCTCCCCACCCAATTCTTACACAGTGACACACATTTCGTGTGTTTTCCGTGAGCAGTTCTGTTTGAACAGTTGGAGTAGGGAATATTGTAGGCTACTGCTAGCAAAACAATGCCAAATATGTAATCACTTTTGGTAATCCGACACCCCTTTGGTCCCATATCTGTCGGATTATCAAGGGACAACTGTATTTCTTATTTAAATTGATTTTCTAAATATCTTTTTAAAGCTTTAAATTTATTTTCTTCTGATACAATTATTAATAGAAATAGAAGTATAGCAATTTTTACTTAAAATTACACTTTAAACAAAAATTGCTGTATTTCTATTTCTTTCATAATAGTTGAAATTACATTGTTCAAAATTATCACTGTAAGAATACTGTATTAAATATATAAATTACTATATTGTAATTTGCATCCTTGTTACATTTAATTATTGTTCTAATATACATTATAATTGTCAAAATAATTTTCTGTTAATTAGCTTCATCAATAACATCTATTTTATCCCTCTTCTATTCTGTTTCAGTGAAGGAATGAAAATTTACATAACATTAGAACTTACAGAGTAATTTAAAAATATTTTTGGTAATAGTTATATTTACTCTGACAAATTGATACAGGAATGGTGAAGTGCACTCCATTGATAGCAGTCAGTTTTGTTACTTTAAAATAAAAATAAGGCATGATTTCAATGACAGAAAGTAAACTTATACAAATTGAAAAGCAGAAAAAATTAAATTTATATTTCTCAGAAATGCATGTTGAAAAGTGTGGAGCACAGACTAAAGATAACTACATATGAATTCAAAATAACTGCGATTTTAATTATTTTATTTTCACTAGAAAGTGAAAATGAAAAATATACTGTTTTCATACTTTTTTTTGGAATCATACCAATTATAAGTCATGCTGTAATTTGTATAATTTATAATCAGTCTCTCAATTCAAAATTATCAATTATCCATATTCCATCTCTCATTTAACAGTTTTAAGAAACTAATGAAAAAAAATGAATCTAAAAAATTAGGTTACTGATGTAATTCTAAAGTATTTGAGTAATATTCTCCAAAAAATGACAGGAGGCACTTGCATTACTATCCCCTGAATCTGCCTTGAGTAGCACTTGTATTTTCAAAATCCTGGATAAGTCAATGACAGGAATAATAATAAATGCTAATCATTCTTGAATATATTGAGTATTAGTTAAGACTATTCTTGATCAAGTTAATTATTGTAAAGAAACTTGTGAATATTATTAATTACAACTACTTTATTCATATTTTTATTATTTTATTGCAAATGCTTATATGTATATAGAGTATTAAATTTAATTTGTAAACAATGTAAGAAGTTATATTTTAAAATACTTGTTAATGCATATTTTAGGCATAGTGATGGCAATTACAAATGGTATAAATTTGATGATGGTGATGTTACTGAATGTAAAATGGAAGATGATGAGGTAATAAAAATGAATCAGAAGTAATTTGTTTATACACATATAAACAGAATACTTTTAAAAAAATTTATTTGAAATAATGCATGTTTGCTAAATTTATCAATGAATTGTGCTAACAAAATATGAAACAACTTTAAAATTCTAGGAAATGAAAAATCAGTGCTTTGGTGGTGAATATACTGGTGAAGTATTTGATCATATGTTAAAAAGAATGTCATATAGAAGACAGAAAAGATGGTGGAATGCATATATTCTATTTTATCATCACTTAGATGCAGAAGAAAATAAATTAGCATACAGTATGCATGAACTAAGTCTGTGTAAGTATGAAACTTAGTTAAGTTATACAAATAATGAAGTTTATCAAGTTGAATATTTATATCAGATTAGATATTTCCTTATACTTAAAAATCAGTTATTAAATTTCCTGTTGAGAATCATGAAAAATGTATAAGACTTTGACAACCTTATTACAAATTTGTCATTAAAAAAAATTGTTTAAAGTTGAATTTACTTTATTTTTGATAGAGAAATAATTTCTAAAAGCATTTCATTTTAAGAAATAATTCTAACTTTTATAATTTTAGATAACATTTTTATGTTTTAATTGAGTTGTTGATTTTGAAAGTGGGGCAAGTCCATTTTGTGAAAAAAATAGTTAAAATTAATTCTTATTACAAATTAACATAAAATTTATGTTTTTAATGAATTCACAATAAATATCTTTTAATATCATTATAAATTTGTTACTAGTAATTTATATCAGTGTATCTAATACTGTTAAATAGTTAAATACTATAATATAAAATATATATAATATGATTAAAAAGATTTTTAGTTGATAAATTTTAATTTATTTTTTCTACTAGCTAATAAGAATAATACAGTGAAGATGCCTAAAGCAATTGAATTAAGTGTACGTGGTCAAAACATCAGATTTATGCATAATAGAAATCAGTTTAGTTTAGAGTATTTTCAGTTCATGAAAAAATTGATTAGTTGTAATATTATTTATGTTACACTTCAACCTGGTCAAGAAAAATTGGTAAGATTAATTGTTACTGTTTTATTTAATAATAATAAAAATAATAATAAAATTGATGATTGTTTTTCATTCAGAGTCCAGAAAGTGAAGAGTTAGCAATGATTAGTACTCAGTTAGCTGCAAAACTTCTCTTCACTACTGGATTTCATGCAAAGAAAACTCTCAGGTATTATGTAATAATTTTTAATTTTATGCTGAAATATAGTATGTAACTATTAATTAAAATATTAAAACTTGTCTAATTTTTATAATAATTACGTACTTTTTTAAGGGGACTTGCAAATGAATGGTATGATGCTTTGTGTGCCCATCTACGGAATAGTCGAAATGTAAGAAACTGGTTCGCTCATAATGTGTTATTTGCTCATCCACACAGATTTTGTGAATATTTGTTGGAATGTCCTAGTTCAGAGGTAGGAAAGATGGGAATTTTAAAATAGTGATAGAAAATTCTAATAATAATAATAATTTTTTATAGATAGATAGATTTATTTACAGTAGAGCATCAATTATCCGAATCAATTGGGGACTGGGTTGTTTGGAAGATCAATGTTCTGGATAACCGATTATGTACAAAAAAATATATTAATTTATCCCATCTTGACATTTTTCTCTGTTGCGTGTCGCTTTGCGTTGAATTTTCGTCGATGTTAAGCCTAACAAAGACTATTGTATCATTAAAAATTTTTTTTTATTTTATACAAACAAAATAAATATTTTGAAAAATATAAAAACAATAAAAAATTATACTTCAGAAGTTAATTTAGTATCAAAAACATAAAATATTTGAGTAGCCAAACACATAGCCAAAGATTGTAGCACCACAGCACTGGCAAAAATTTAAATTTGCTGACTGGAATTCTTTCGGATGATTGACTTTCGGATAATCGACGCTCTACTGTACTATACTTGTGTTCACTTTGGATGTTTTTGATAACTAGGACTTGTTATCCTGAGGGAAGAGAAACACATAATTTCCAATTAAAATATATTTANTTTTTTTTTTTTTTTTTTTTTTTTTTTTTTTTTTTTTTTTTTTTTTTTTTTTTTTTTTTTTTTTTTTTTTTTTTTTTTTTTTTTTTTTTTTTTTTTTTTTTTTTTTTTTTTTTTTTTTTTTTTTTTTTTTTTTTTTTTTTTTTTTTTTTTTTTTTTTTTTTTTTTTTTTTTTTTTTTTTTTTTTTTTTTTTTTTTTTTTTTTTTTTTTTTTTTTTTTTTTTTTTTTTTTTTTTTTTTTTTTTTTTTTTTTTTTTTTTTTTTTTTTTTTTTTTTTTTTTTTTTTTTTTTTTTTTTTTTTTTTTTTTTTTTTTTTTTTTTTTTTTTTTTTTTTTTTTTTTTTTTTTTTTTTTTTTTTTTTTTTTTTTTTTTTTTTTTTTTTTTTTTTTTTTTTTTTTTTTTTTTTTTTTTTTTTTTTTTTTTTTTTTTTTTTTTTTTTTTTTTTTTTTTTTTTTTTTTTTTTTTTTTTTTTTTTTTTTTTTGTTAAATTATGCTAGCTTAAAGCAACAAACAAAATATAAGAAAACATGTATTTACAATGAATTCTTATTATTATTATTATTATTTAAAATTTATTGTATAAGGATAATCAGTAAATAATTAGCCAATGAGTGCAGCACTTTGAAGATAATTTGCATAATAATGCAACCTGACAGGAATGAGGGGTTTGGACAAGGTAAACAGTGGCATGACCAATTAGTATTGCTTTTGATCTTACGATAGAATGCAAGCATGTAAATTAGAGCAATGTGCTGTAATATAGTTCATAACTGCAGAAGGGACTGGACCTCCAGAAATGTATGAGCAGTATGCACAAAGGCAAGGGAAGAAATTTGTGAGAAATTACACACCATGCAGGATAAGCAGCAACCAGGTCATCCAAAAATGACAGTCACACAGGCAAATGCAAACAGTGGAAGATTACATTCGCATGAACAGACCAGTAAGAATTCATCAAATCACATATGCAATAGAATTAAGCTTCAGTGCTGTGCAAGAGATTTTTTACTTGTATGTGCACTTCCACACCTGTCAAAGCAGCAGAAAGCAGCTCAGATAGTCTTATAATTTTAGCATCTGACTATCTGTTCATAACAAGGAGAAAAATGCTTTTCTGGCCAAATTGTGGAGGGAGATAAGACATGGTGCTACCACTATGAACTGGAGTCAAAGCAAGGCAGTATGCAAAGGAAGCATCCCTCATCCTCCCACCCCAGAAAAATGTAAGGTTACAACATCAGCAGGGAAAGTGATGATGACCCTTTTTTTTTTTTAATTATGAAAGTTAAAAAAAGTATTCTGCTCGATTCTTCAAAAAGGACATCACATTAATGCAGCCATGTATTGCACCACTCTGCAAACCTTATGAACAAATATTCAATGCTCACTTGCAGAGCATCCCGGAGTCATTTTGCTGCATGAAAACACATAGCCAATGTGGCGATGTGTGTTGTCATGAACACACTGCTACAGAAGTTTGACAGGGAAGTACTTTGGCACTGTCCTACAGTCCTGACCTGTTACCACATAACATTGACTATGGGGAGCTGAAGAAAGTGCTGTTTTATTATAACTGAGAGATGCAGAGTGTCATTTGGCTTAACTACTGACTTGAAACATTTTTTAACCCCTTCATTCCTGATCATTAATTAAATTAATATTAAAATACATTAAAAATACTTAAAACTGAAAAAAACGAAAGAAATGCCTTAATTTTGAAGAAAAAGCTTCAAATTAACCTTCAAATTTTATTTTCCTTTGTTTCGCCTTTGTGTGAAATTTAACACTGATGAGTCATTGTTTACACAGTTGGGTGACCTTGAACACAGCTGGAGTTGGATTTCCTGGGACATTCTCATGTACACTGCGGGAGGTCAAGGGTTTAAAGTAGGGTGAATTCGACCGACAGGTATATTTTTAAAAAATTCAAAATTTTATTGCGATTTTTGACCCCCCAATTAATTAAATTTATATTTAAAAAAATTAAAAAACTATCAGAGGTCGTTTTTGACATCAGAAACTAGCTTTAAATAACTTTACCGAAGAAAAATCCGTGCACTACAACTTAGGAACCATGAAATAAATTTGATAAAAAAAGCCCATTAAAAAACAATTAAGCCTGAATCGAGCCTTATTAAAGGCGAATTAAAGTCGCAATAAAAATTTTTCGCACGGGCAAAAAATTTTGAAAAAATTTGGGGACCTAAAAAATATTCCAAAAATTCAAAAAAATTTTTTTCAAAAATGGCCTTAAGGACCACGTTTTTCGTAAGGCTATGTAGGCTTGACGAGTTATCTCGTCAATGGGAACTGAGGAGACTTGTGGGAGAATGGGATAAATGCCTCAACAATTAAGGAAATTACATGTAAAATAAAATGCATTCATTGTGTTTCATTATCATTAACTAATTATTTATTGATTATCCCTTAAATTATACATAGTAACAAGGTGTAACTAAATCATTCAATAAATTTTTACTAATTAAAGTTAGAATTTGTCTTAATTTGTAGAAGCATATATTTGTATAGACATGTTTTTTATTCAGACAATATCTTTTATTTACATATGGATATTTTTTGTTTTTAAGACATTTAATTTTTACTACACTTTATTGTTATTTAATGAACATTTGTAATAATTATTTTCTTAAATATTTCAGGTTCGTAATGCTTTTGTAAAAATTATTGTACTTTTGGCACATCTGTCATTACAGGATGGACCTTATAGTTCTCCAATGTTATGTAGTGTGTGTAAGTATTTTAAAAATTATAATAAGAATATTTTGATATATATATTGAAATTTGTTATCTGAAATATGTATTATTACAAAAATAATTGAATTTTTACATTCATGAAAATCTTAAATAGTTTTGGTAATATTGATTTGATTATTTAAGTTTTAAAATCATATATTATTAAACACATTTTTAAAAATATTTAACAAAATAAGCTTTTTAGTTTTTTTTGCAATTTAGTGATGTTCTCAGGTTCAGTCAAGACTGACTAGAGAAGAAAGTCTGTCAGATATAGCTGTAACATCATCAAAAATAGACTATCTCAGATTATTTTTATTATTCTAAATGAAGATTTTTTTTCTTCTCTCTTAATTTGTTCCTTACTTTTTTTATATAAATAAATATAAAGTATGATATACTAGAAATAGCTTTGGGTCATTTTTAGGAAATGTGAGTTTACACTGTTGTTTTGTTTATTTATTGTCTCATTTAAATCACTCATTGATAATTTTATATATATATATATAGTATAGCTGCAAACATTGTTACTTTTTTATAGAAATATTTATTTCAAAAAGTTGCACAAAAATTGTTTATAAAAATGCTTTCATATATTATTTAAGATGTTTTAAATTCATTTATATCAATTAGATATTTCAAGAAAACTTTACTTCATTAACTTTTCTTAATTTACATAAGCAATATAATAGTTAATTTTAATACATTCTATACTGTTGAATATTCATATTATTTTTAAACAAATAGTTATAGATTATAAGCTTTTTAGATCTTCAGTATGAATATAGAAGAATATCTAAATTATTTAAGCTTTCTGTAAAAATGAGATAAATGTTTAAAAAACAATTTATATATTAAATCCAATTTTTTTACATAGTAAAGTAGAAAAATTTTTAATTACAAAAGTTATTTATTATCTAAATACAATATATATGCATTTATATGGAAAACTTCAAATTATATCATTTTAAGTCTTACTCCAAATAAATAAATAAAAAAAAAACATGTACATATATTCTTATTTTGATAATTATTCTTAATGTATGCTTTTATTCTTATAAAAAAAAATTTATAATTTTTTAATGTGATATTTATTATACATTCTTTAAATACATAGTACATTTTATATGAAAATAATGAGGTATGTCAAATATAATAAAACAGTAAGAACAAATAATTTGTTAACTTCAAGAAGGAATGGCTTAAAATTTACAACTATTACAATGCTTTCATTTTCATTCTGGAGGTTATTAAATCATTGTATTTTTTGTCATAAAATTTCAATGCACTAAAATCCTAGATTATAGTGAATTTAAATCAAAATTCTTATTAGTTATGCATTCTGTAATATAATGTAAAATTTATGCATTCACAAAATAGATATAGTAAAACATATTGATATAACAATATATATATATATACAGGGTTCATAGGAAAGTCCCTTTAACCAGAAAATTCTTGCGAATGGAGAGAGCTACAGCTATAAAAGTGAGGTAACAGTATAGTAAAGCGACTACGTCCGACCTAATGCAAATGACTGCAGTGCCCAAATGTCCAAAAGCGATGCACGCCATTTTGTGTACCTATGGCTATTCCTTTCAAACGTTTGTTTGAAATAGCCACAGGTATGAAGAAATATGCACAATTTATTGCATAAAATACATACTTACATCAATACAGTTCGATAGCAATGGCGTGTATTGTGAGCAATGGCGAACTTTTCGAACATACTTGACATTAACTTGTTATCACTGTGTGACAGTTTGCCTTTCCGTTGTTTTGTGTGTGATGTTATCAAACTGTATTGATGTAAGTATGTATTTTATGCAATAAATTGTGCATATTTCTTCATACCTATTCCTCTCAAACATTTACACAAAATGGCGTGCATCGCTTTTGGTAATTTTTGGGTATGTAGGTGACAATTTATCTTATCCATGTGAATCACATGTCGTTTCGTACTAATTAATTGATGCTCTAAAACTTTCTAATTGGAAAGTTTGCTCTATCTGTTTTCATTTTCGATTTGCACTGCCTATCTTCCAAATTTCACCACTAGGGGCACTGCTGTCATTTTCATTAGGTTGGGCATAGTCGCTTTACTATACCATTACCTCACTTGCATAGCTATAGCTCTCTCTGTTCGCAAGAATTTTGTTCTCTAAGCATCCTGTGTGTATATATATATCAACATATAATATATTGAGTTGTATAATACAAAATAATAATGGGTGTTTTTCTATTTTAATATAGTAATTACATGAAATTGTTAAAAAAAATTTATTAAATGTTCCTAAAATATTCATTAGAATATTGTTTTGTATATCTATTCTATCATATCTGTTTTTGTTAATAAATCATTCATCATAACATAAAGCTTACAAATATTCCATTAGATATTCAAATTGAAAAATTTGTTTTTAGAACTTCAAATTATTTTCATAAATGCTATCAGTTTGTACTTTACAGTGGACTTTCATTGATATATTATTTATGAAGTGCATTCAAGTTCTAAGGTCTCCCATTTCTTTTCTGATAAAATACTTACACAACCAATTTGAAACTTCCATCACTTCTCAACATAATCTCCCTACAGATGTACACATTTTTCACAATGTCAAATCCATGACATGATGGTCGCTGCAAACACTTAACACTTCTTTAGTAGTCTGTTTTGACCACTGGAAAATCACTGATACTAGAGGAAAATATACGACCATGGAGAGTGTCCTTCATCATTGGAAAAAAGCCAAAATTCACTAGGAGCAAGGTCAGGTGAGTAGGGAACATGAGAAACTACTTCAAAGTTGTTTTCACAAGGAAACGCCTGTGTTAACATCACCTGATGAGCTGGAGCATTGTCTTGATGGAAGAGCACACATGTAGCCTTTTCCAGCCGTTTTTTCACAATGCTGGAATCAATTCATGATGACAACATGATTGAGCACATGAATCAACCTGCTCCACATGTGCAATCATGTTGTCAGACTGGCTGGTGCACAGGCGTGGATGTTTTGGTTCATTGTCACAGGGAGAGTGGTCGGTTGTTTCGACTTGTGTGGATATGGTAAAGTTTGACTCCAGTTCAACTTGAGTTTTTTCTGTGGACATTTGTGATATTATAAGGTGTGATATACTGATCGAAAGAGGACAATGAGTAGTATCGAATGTTGTAAAATTCGGCAAAATAGGATTATTTGTTTTTGTGTTACACCGATTTCAAATTGGATATTACAGACCCGTTTTTCGGACAGGAAGACCCGTTTATCCAGACTAAAGTGCAGAGTCTTGTATACATTTTAACTGTGAGTACTGTGTTAAATTTTGGTGACTTTTGGCCCATTATTGTGGGACTTATTTGACTGTTAATTTTGGGATTCGGCGGGCCAAATAAGGATCATCCGTGAATTTAACTGATATCGTCAGGGAGAGGGCAATTGCCTTAATATTTTGACTAAATTTTATAGTGCTATGTAAAATAGTTTTTTAGTTATCGTAATTTAAAATTTTGTACTTTTTTTCATCGGCCCAAGAAATTGTTATTTATAATCTAACAGTCGTCGGTCTTCAATTTATTTAACAGTTATTTATAATGATCGCTGGTAATGGTCGCCAGATTAAATTGATTGTTTTGGGGGATCACTCAAATGTTTCAACGATTTTTATATGCAATTCACAGTTAATTATAATTAATATTTAATTAGTATTAATTATTTAATACAGTATGAGTTACATTTCCTACATAAGTTAAGTAGTTTTGGTACATCATTGCTAAGGTTTTGTGCTACTTTCCATTTAAATCACATTATTCTTAGTACAAACATCGCTAAACCCAATATATAATAAAGCTACACGCCAACCGAATGCCGAAAATCTATCGGGCTAGTATAAGGCTAATTATTAAATGAATTACGTAACCAATTTGGCTTTAGAGGTAAGCATTAGGCGCCATCTCTTATTAACATTAATAATTATAATTTATTTATAATTATTAATGTTAATAAGAGATGCTGAAAAAGTCAATTCATGAACAAGCTTGGGCAGTTTTACATTAACAAAGCTATCATAAGATTTAATTATGTGTAGAGAGAAGCAGATTTCTATAATTTAAAAAAAAAATAAACATGAATAATTGAATTTAAAAAAATACTGATATCTCTTATGATAATTTGTCACTTACTGTAATGTGTATATTACTGTTATCTGTAAAGGATGTGTACTATGTTTGTAAATAAAATAGTGTAAATTACATTTAAAAGGTAATTTATGGAAAATCTCACTTGGGCNCAATGTTTCAGCCTTCTATAATAATTATAAGTAAATTAATTAATTTAAATAATTTAGAACCGCTGGGAGAAAAAAATCGGCCCGGAGTGGGACTCGAACCCACAACTCCTGCTTATCGTGCAGATGCGTTGCCAGTTACGCTATCCGGACCCATACAAACAAATATCAATATAAAAAATCAACGAATAAAAATCAGAGAACATGTAATAAGAATGTATGGTTACTTACATGAGATGCATGCAATTGTTAAAGAAATGAAAAGTAACAAAACAAAACAAGAAGGAGTAATTAAACCAACATACAGCAAAATTGCACGAAGAAATGTTAAACCTAGTACAACCACAAAAAATATACAAAGATCCCTGGACCAAAAGATCAACAAAGAAGGCACAGGGGATCCCACACTGTTATATTATATCCAATACAACAAGAAGACGAAACAGAAATGAACAGGAAAGAAATTACTGAAGAATTAATAAAACATATCGAACCACACAAATTAAAATTAAAAATTAAAACAATGAGAGAAATAAGAAACAATGGAATTTGCATAAGAGTAGGGAACCGTGGAGAAAGTGAGAAACTAGAAAAAGCAATCAAAGAAATTTCAAGCCTACAACATAAGATAAAATGCAAAAGAACAGAAGGAAGAAGACCGAGGATAATTCTTCTCAATGTGCCACAATCGATATCAGATGAAAACATTACTT